ATCTATATATCTATATATTTATATATATATATGTGTGTGTGTATGTATATGTATATATATGTCTGTGTCTGTGTCTGTGTCTGTGTATGTGTCTTGTCTGTTTTGTGTCTTGTTTGTTTTGTGTCTGTGTATGTGTGTGTGTGTATGTGTATATATGTGTCTCTGTGTATGTGTGTGTCTCTGTGTGTAGGTTATCACGTGTTGATCCGCTATCGTGATCATGTATGTCTACATGCATTTGTGCCTATTTACATGAGTAATGTTCGTATTTACAAACGGTCACTCTGGGCTCACCTACAGCATGTAGAAAAAAAAACAGGATAATTGTTCTATATAAGTTGTCTACTAGACCCCACGCATGCGTATGCAATATGGAGGATATAGAGCGTGCATATACTATAGCATATTCATACACTATCGCAACTATATAAATCACAGTTAACGCATCCATCATTGTGGGTGTACATATAGCTCTCGCTTGTTATAGTTGTACGTCCGTATTTTGTACTACTCAGGCTCATACACACAGTGTGAGATTATAGGGTTTAGAGTAAACTGATATCCTGCAAGCTTGCCCAGGATTACAATGAACACGGCACGAGTGCATTAGTCTCCGGCATGCCTATGCAGAAGCATTTATCATCCACGCCCATACTTACGAATCCCATGTGAAAAGAACCTGTCCTTTTGTTCTCATGTACACTCAGCAGACCCTGGGTATATGCATAGGAATCATCATGGATGATGGATGTGTGGACGTTTGGCAAGCAGGCTCAGTAACGCTTCGTATTCGCACAGATCGCTATATAGGTTTGTACATATTGTCACACACGTTCACCAGTACTCTCGCCTCAACGCCAATCGTTTCACAAATGTGGACTATTGTCAAGCACGATCGCTCACTAGTCCCCTCGCATACCCCCAGATCTCTTCACAAATGTGGACATGCTGTCAAGCAAGCTAACCCGGGGGTACATAGAACACGACACATACTACATGTTTGTCCGGTTGATGGAGTTGATGCGCAAATGGTACCAACAACCCCCCGCATCCACCAAGGGATCCACTAGGGCGTCTATGGAGGTTTGTTTAAGTTCATATTTATATATTTAGGGCGTCTATGGAGGTTTGTATGAGTCCTTATTCATGTATTTAGGTGCTTTTGGAGGTGCGTATGAAATCCACCGGTGCGGTAGTGAAGCAGTTGATCCTGGATTACTTTGCGATTTCCTTCCTATTCTGGGCAATATACTTTTAAAGTCCGATGGTGTGTCTCTGGGTGCGTACCTCCCCAGTCGGTAATGTACCCCATAAATCTAATTTGGCGCCTCATGATTGGTCGAGGTTCTAGTTTGACGTCTCATGATTGGTCGAGGTTTGGACGAGCCTGTTTACTTTCGCACAGGCGAGGTGTGGTTTGCCCACGTTTGTTCTTGTCGGGTGTTATCTGTGACCCAAATTCAGTGCAGTTTAGATCCGAAAGGCATTTTGATTAATCCAGTACGCTGTCTCCATTTAAACTCCTCTCTCTCTCTCTCTCTCACACACTCTCTCGATCTCACACACAGATGTGTGCGTGTGTGTGCGTGTACATGTGTGTATATGTTTTAGTGCGCGTCGTATCAAACGAAACTATCTCCAGTTAAACTTCTTTCTCTCTCTCACTCTCGCTCTTTCTTTCTCTCGATCTCACACACAGATTTGTGCGTGTGCGTGCGTGTATATGCTTTAATCCGTGTCCTATCAAACGCTTTTTCCCTCATCTACCTACCTTGAAACGCGATTCACTCTCTCACTCAGCTGTTTCTGAAAACCCTGAAACCCCTAAAAACCTTACCACCCAGGAATCACCCGTAGTGGCCAAAATCTTAACAATTCAAAACGTTCTGCTGAAGGAATGCGATCCGGAAGTCCATCATGTGCTCACATCGCAAAACGTGGCACCGCAGATCTATGGAATGTATGTGCGTGGTTCAGTGTGTGGGTATGTGTGCCTGTGTCACCTCAGATCTATGGAATGTATGTGCGTGGTTCAATGTGTGGGTGTGTGTGCCTGTGTTACCTCAGATTTATAGAATGTATGTGCGTGCTTCAATGTGTAGGTGTGTGTGCCTGTGTTACCTCAGATCTATGGAATGTGTGTGCGTGCTTCAATGTGTGGGTGTGTGTGCCTGTGTTACCTCAGATCTATGGAATGTATGTGCGTGGTTCAATGTGTAGGTGTGTGTGCCTGTGTCACCTCAGATCTGTGGAATGTATGTGCGTGGCTCAATGTTTGTGTGTTTGTGTATCTGTGTCGGTGTCGGTGACTCTGTATTTGTGCGTGTGCGTGGATGCGTGTGCGTGGATGCGTGTGCGTGTGCGTGTATCTGTGTGTTTATGTGATTGTGCGTATGTTTGTGCGTGTATGAGTGTGAGTGTGTGTGCGTGTGCATGTGTTTCGGATGTGTATATGCGTGTGTGTGAGTGGGTGGGTTGGTGGGTGTGCTTATATGATTACTAACTGTGGCAGCATCCATTCTAATGCATATATCGTAAGCCCAAACTTACACCCCTGACACTTGTGCTCGATTGTTCTGGAGTGCTGCTTTTAGATTCCCGTATTGTTGGTGATTTGGTAGACGTGCCC